ATAAAATAGTGAAGAACTCAACATCTCTTTCACTTAAATTTAAAATGTACCAATAATTAAATATTACTATTTTATTTTATTGGTCACATCTGTCATAGATTTTGAATTTGTTGCCGTTTAAAATAGATACAATTCTCGGAACTAAAAAAAATAAAAAAAGAGCCGGGTAAAGCATTTATTTATTTTATTTTAGTAGTATATATATATTTTGGATATTTTTATGGTCATAATTTATAGCAATTAAAAATTTGAATCTGTCATGTTTATTTTCCTCAAACAATTTGTTCATTATATCGCCATCGATTTTACCCATTATTGGAAAGGAAAAACATTCAGGTTACCTATTAGAAATTGTCTTCTATAAATATTTTTCGAATTAAAATATTGAGATGTCGATTGTGCAATCAAACTTTATTTATACACTAGTATGTAACCCGTGTGATACGGGCTATATTTATTTTTAAAAAAAATAAATTAAAATTTATTACTCAATAAATTATCATGCGTAAGGTATTTGTAAAGTAATCATAAATTGTTAGTTGATAATAAGTCATACATTATTAAAAGTCTAATTGTACACAATATTATGAGTTTGATTATTGGGTAACTCATTGTCCCCACAAACTAATATTTTCAATCACTTTCTATTAGTTGCACATGAAACAACAACACATGATTGATCGTAATTAAAAAAACGATTTCTTCACGAACAACTGCATGCGATAAAGACTAACTCTGACAATATATGTATTTTTGTATTTTTGTGTAAGCTGCTTTTATCGAATGAGTTTGATTGGATATTTATTAGTCTCAAATTCGTGTGAAAGCAAAAAATAAGGTATAAAATTAAAGTGATAATATTTTTTTATGTGGTAAATATCACAGATTTTGTTTATTTGGATGATACCGAAAAGAAAAAGATTTTTAACCACAAAAATTGATATAGTAAAAAAAAAAAAAAGATCCTTAAAAACCTCTGATTTAGTTAGTATGATTTGTAGTTGAACATAAATGAATATTATGACAGTATTAAACAAATTATTACTAAGATTAGTGGACTGTATTTATCTCTTCTTTTCTCTTAGTCTCATTTAATCACCATGTTGATCCCAATATTTGCAATAAATTTGATTGTATCTATTGCATAATAATATGTAAAAAAAAGTTTTACGTTCAAGTAAGAGTTTATTTATATGAATATAAACACTTGTAAATCAAATTTCCATAAAGATTGCATTTCGTATTGATCTTTTTTATTATAGCATTCTCATTAATTTTGTGTTTATTTTTTTTATTCTCTTAATCTCATTTTATGGCCAATTCGATTATAATCTTTGGAATAAATATTAAATGTAATCTTTAAAATAGATTTGTTATGTTTAAAAAGAGATTTAGATTGTATCTATTGCATAACAATGTTTTAAAAAAAAATTGTTAAGTTCAAATAAGAAATTTATTTATGAATAAAACACTTGTAAATCAGATTTTCATAAACATTGCATTTCGTATTTATCTTATTTTATTATAGCTTTATGTAGTCCAAACAATTAATATGAACAACCGTGTGTGAATCAAATTTTATTACGAAAAAAAAGTTAAAATACTAATAAAATTTGATTTGTATATATCTAAAAAATGTTTCACTACAAAAATTGTGATGCAATAAAAAAAAGGTTCGTTTAAAATTTTGATTTAGTTTGTATGCTTTGTAGTTGAAAATGATAAATATTAAAACTGCTTATTATCAGAGTAAAATAAAACAAATATAAAAAATAAGTTTATTTGTATGAAAAGAAAGACGTGTAGATCATATTTATTTAAGTAAAAAATATTTTTATTAACAGTGAAATTTGTGTAAATAAGTTTTTATAAAGATAAAATCAAATATACAAATAAAATGAGATTTTGTGTATATGATTCTTGTACAACAAAAACATGTTACCATAAAAATAATGGTTTACTTTAAAAAAATATTGACAAAATCAAAATCAAGTACAAACATAATCTCTTTTCTCATGGCTACTCCTTTCTATGAAATTAAACTTTTTTATTTTGTATATAATACGTGTGTGATAATTCTTTTTTTTTTTTTGAAAAGGCATTAATTATTTTGGCAGAACATTTTTACTAAATTGATTTAATTTTATTTTTATTTTATATATAAATTAGTGGATAATTATTATTATTGGAGTTATAAATGTGGTCCCTCATTATTTTTATTCATAAGTTACCGTCATGATTTTGAATCATGAAATTCCATTGCAACTCTATTTTTTAAACCCATCAAATGTATTCATTACCTTCCATTTTAAATGCAAACGTCGCAGTAAAAATATAGGCTATACTGTATTATATTACAGTATATGATGGTTCACAGTCCATCAAAATTGGACATTGCCTTATCATGATGAGCATACAATGATATAATAACGCAAAAATATTTACAAAATTTCAGTTTTTTATTAGTTTTGTTTATATGTCACTTAGAAAATTATGATATAACAATTTCTATACGTGTGTGTATATATTGTACGTTATGTGAAAAAATATATATATTTTAACATTAAGAATTATGAAGTATAATTTATCAGTGTTCGACAACTATCTTACAATCTGAATCGATTATGATTTTATATTTAATTGGATGAATTTTAATCTTATTGAGATATAGATTTTATAAAAGAAAATAAAATATACAAATTAAATGAGATTTGTGTATATAAAGGATTATTTTACCACAAAAACATGTTAACATAAAAATATAGGTTTACCTTAAAAAAATGATTTTGACAAAATCAATACAAACAGAATCCGTTTTTTCATGGATCTTCTTCTTCTTATGCAATTAATATTTTTTTGTTTTGTTTTGTATTTAATATGTGTGTGATAATTTTTTTTGAAAAGTCATTAATTATTTTGGCAGGAAATTCTTACCAAAAATGATTTATGTTAATCCTTATTATATATATATATATATATATATATATATTAATTGCATTCGAAAACAATTTTGTTATGGAGTCATCGGATGGCTTGACTTATGGAGCCATCCATAGTTATCCACAAATGGTGTATTGATACGTGTGTCCTGCAATAAATACATATTGGACACGTGTCAATACATAAAGTTATGAAATGACTTCATAAGAGAGCCATCTGATGGCTCTATAATATTTCTGCATTCGAAAATGCATTGTTTTCATTAATCTGGACCTAAATGCATTAACAAACCTTTGTATAGCTAGAATTTATCTAAATATAGAATAATTGTAAAGTTTATTTTTTTGAAAGTTTCTTTAATATGCATTTCGAAATTGCAGTAAATTGCTCAACTACAAATGGTACACATTACCAGTTACTACATTCTTTTTATAGTGTTATAAATTGATTGAAATGGACAAAAATGCAAAAAGCTAAAAAAAAATAGAATAAGAAAAAAAGCATGTGAAGATAAGTTTGTGATAGACAAGCAACCGGAAAAGAAGAAAAAAAACTATAAAAGGAAAGAGTGGATGGAGGAAGAAAGGTAAATAAGGAATATGCATTGATCCAAAAGTTAAAAATCCTGTTCTCCCCCTTTTATTGCTTCAAACTTTAAAAGATTAAAAGTGAGCACAACATGTTTAATTTTACTACAAACAAAGATTAAAGAAACAATATAATCACCTGGTTTTTAGAAGTTAAAAAAAATTGGAGAAAACAAGCAATGAGAGATATTTATTTAATTTCCCAAAGGCAAATATGAAAGAACACAAATCCCTGACATTCATTCAGACTCAAGTTTAAAAATTGAAAGAAAACAGCCCTACTCATATATAGCCATTAAAGCCCACATAAATTTCAGCTAAAATTTCATATTACAATGTTTTAGAACAATGAACAAATTCAGGATCAAATTTATTCCCCACCATTCTCAAGCAGAAGCACATTCAATGAAGACGATAAATTTTGGAGAAACGGACATTCGTATATGAACAATATTAGTTTAAATTAAACAACAGCTGAAGAACTTAGTAAGAAATGTGATATTCTAATGTAATCCAACTTAAGATAACACATTTTTATGTATAGACTTATGTATACCTCTTTTGCTGATCAAATGACGACAACACGGCTTACGACAATTCATAATGTTCATTTGCAAGACTCGACAAAAGTAAGATACTCATTACTTTAACCGAAAAGCCCCTCCTTTTCGCGTAATAATTAATAACCAAGCTCAGCATCACGACAAAGACAAAGCCATTCGATCCAATGCAATGAATAGCCAAATTTTCCGGAAAAAATGTCGCACATGTCAACTGTGGAACTCAAATACGAGAGTTGAATTTATAGAAAATGAGAGGGAAAAATAAGGCAGCAAGTTCAAGAATTCACAAGGACTTGACAAATATGTAGCCATTAATTAGGGGGGGAAAATAAAGAATCACCAAATCAGATATGAAAAGCAGAAAAGATCTTTGTTAAACTATTAGGGATAATAGAAAAAAATATTGCTAAAACGTGCATGTTATCCTCAAAGGGCACATAAACATTACATTTTGATGCGGCCATCAAAGTAAATTGCACTGCTGATATTCACTGGAAAGCAGTGATAGATCGAAATGAAAAGAAATAGCAAGTCACGATTCACGAGAATTTACCAATCTTCGACAAGAACGTGCAACCATCAAGCAAACAGTATGAAGTACCTTTTTTCCCATGACCTACACATACTTGATACTTCATATCTCAGCAAAACATAACAAACAATCTTGACTAGAAATAACACAAGTCGAGAGTTATCTCGAGCCACACGACTCGTAAAATAGTATCCAAACCCGAGCAATCAGAAGCTATCATACCAAACAAGGATCAGTCGATCAAATATAAATGCTTATTGATAACAATAAAAATAGAAGTCAATAACAAGACAGGCAATGCACAATTGAACTGAACATATAATATACCATTCACAACATCATGTACACATTCATCACATTATATACCATTCATTTCGTTCAAAAGTAAACCTCGCATTCTTGATATGGGTTCAAGAAAATACCGGGCCTTTTACTCGAAATGAACCCGAAGCTCACACCACCACAGTAAGTCCTCATGTGTTGAGACTTTGTCTTCCACCTCCCATTTTTATACCTCACAACTGCTAAAACCTTAATCTCCAGGCTCAAACTCCCACTGTCTAAATCCCTTTTAATCGACTCAACCGTTTCAATCCCCAAATCACCGCGCTTAAAACTAAGCTCTGTTTCAATGGTGATTTGGCTCAGCTGACGCTGGACAAACGGCGGGCGGGAATTCTCTGAAAGCAGAACCTGCTGGGATGGGTAGAACAGCACGATTTCCATCGTTTTGTAAACGGTTTGGAGGTTACGGTTTGGGTTCGTGAGGAGAAAGGTGACGTTGCAGCCCGCCGAGGCGGAGGAGGCGCCGCCGGTGAAGGACACGGCGGAGATGGCGGCGGAGACCACGCGGATCTGGGGGAAGGACGGGCGCAGGACCATCCACATCAGGGCGGAGAGGCTCGCGAAGACGAGGGAGACGGACAGACCCCAAATCGCAGCGCGGCAGAGGAAGGGCGCCCCGCGCCGGAGGAAGGAACGGCGGATGGCTGGGTCGCGGTAAAGATCCCTGGCGTAGACCGCCGCCGCAGGCGGCGGAAGAGCGTCGCGGTTGGATCTGTTCCCGCCGTCGTTTGCGGCGGGTGAGGAGGAGGACGCCATTGGTGGTGAGTGGGGGTTTTAGAGGAAGCTTGTGGGGGGTTGATTGGGAGGGGTTATGAAGACGGCGAAGACTAGCGGTGGAGAACACGTGGAGCAAAAGGGGCGGAAAGGCGGCCGAAGCTCCGCGCGAGATGGCGGGGGTCTGTGGGATTTTTGTCGTATTAGCGGCTTTTTTTTGGCAGAGGTTTTATTTTCTGCTTTGGCACGCATTGTTTGCGTGGGCTCTCCGAGCCTGAGGAGCTCCATTGATGACGCCAGCGGACTTTGGTAGAAGGGAGGGAAAGTGGATAGAAGAAAATCTGATACTGGCAAATGGGTCTATTCCGTGAATTAGGAAAAGTTGAGGGGGCGAAGGGAAATATTGGAGCTGGTTGAAG